CTACACAAAACCAATGTAGATAAACACATGTCCCTGGATTGGATGAAAAGTACAGGACTGAAGGCGGAGACTGAAAGTCTACTGATTGCTGCACAGGACCAGGCACTTAACACGCGCTACCATAGAAGAATGGTCCTGAAACAGAATGTCGACAGCAAATGCAGAATATGCCATCAATGTGAGGAACATATAGCCACATTATTTCAGGCTGCTCAACACTGGCACCAACAGAATACACCGAAAGGCACAACAACGTCGCTAAATACATACACTGGGCTATCCTCAAGCAGCACCAAGTACCAGTTAGCAACAACTGGTATGATCATTCTCCTGAAGCAGCAGTAGAGACAGACGAAGCATTAATTATGTACGACAAAGGAGTCATACCGACCGTACGATTTCCGCAACCGACCTGATATTATTTACCATAATAAAACACAGAACACATGTCTGCTAATTGAGGTATCTGTACCAGACGACAACAACGTCAACACCAAAGAAGCGGAAAAGGCCAGAAAATACAAAGACCTCGAAATCGAAATATCGCGCATGTGGAAGACAAAGACAAGAACGGTACCCGTGATCATCGGAGCTTTGGGGACTGCCACTATGTCATTCAGAACACATAAAGAACTCCCCGGAGATGTCTTTGCAACACAAGTTCAAAAGATAGCACTGCTAGGAACAGCCCACATTTTGCGGAAAACCCTTTCCGACTAAAGACCTTAGAACTCAGGCAGAGTTCCGGTCAAGCTCATCCCTTCCTCTAGGAGTGAAATACAGAATAATAATAATAATAATAATAATAATAATAATAATAATAATAATAATAATAATAATAATAATATAATAATAAGGGGTCTGGCCGGTAAGGGGACTGCCGCCAGCAGTTTCAAACCCCCGACCGTAACGACGTAGACGGTACAGCCAGCAACGCAACGTCTGGCCTCGACTACTGTTATTAACACCGAAGGAAAGTCAGTACGGCCCGCACACCTCCTGTTCATCCAGGCGTGGTTTTTGTCTCTCTTCCACGCCTGAGTTAAACACTTTAGATAAACAATTATACCTACCTATCAAAAGAGAACACAATTACCAGAAATGGAAAAAACAAAATGAAGCCTCGGAATGTAACGACGTAATCGGGACTCGACGCTATGCGACGAGGTCCGCGTCCGGCAGAGAGCGTAGGGGAAGGTCGCACCCGGTCGTAATCCAGCGAAAGCCCCCCACAGATGTGAGAGAAGTAACTCGAATGACCCCATCCAACAGCTTCCTGGGGTCGAAGATGGCAATCATGTTGCTGGAAGCCAAGAGCCCCAGCCCATAATGCCAGACAATAGGAGGAGAAAAAGAACCACGTGGACCACTGAAATGAACAGATTTGTGGTTCGCTCCTACTACAGAATAACTAAACTAGAAACATCTACAGAGCCCTATGGTACTGAACTACACAAACAAGTTATCATGAACTTCCCTCACCTGCAAGGCAAAAACTGTGCAAAACGTACTAGACCAGCGCGATCCGTATTCATAAACAACAGATTGCCGGCAGAGGAGATAAACAAAATAGGAGAGAGATATCCATAGAATTAGGAATGCAGGTACAAGCTCCGCAAGAGCACACAGAAAACCAAGAACAATTGAGATAAACGATGGCCAACCCTCTAAATACGCAGATGAGTTCAGGGGCTTGTTCATGAAGTATGATGGTGTGGAACCAACTCTTAAACCAAGCCTACCAAAGCTAATAATAAAACCCCATACATCTGAGTATATCGCTGAAGTTAACAAAGTACTAGATAACGAGATTACAGAAGATACAACCTTGACTGAGCTCCATAGCCTTTGTAGGGTAGAGTGGGGTTAACTGAACAGGTAGGTTAACTGAACACATCGATGTTCCTGCCATCTAGTAATGATAAATTAAACTTGATTTTGCTGCTGAAAGCGTCTTTTGTTACGTGTGTTGACACTGTTCGGTGCAGATTTTTTAAGTCGGTTCTAATCTCGTAAATCAGCAAACATATTTTTAATGGCCGCCACGTAAAATTTGTGCTCCCAAGTTTTTTTGTGTTACAGTTAGCAAAATACAGTTTTTAAATTGGTTTGACGTATATTTTGTTCAGTAAGTATTTAGCATTTATTTCTTGTGTTTACCTAAGCTTAACATTATTTTTTAATCAAATTTTTCTTTTGCTTATGTATTGGTGCACAGTGGGTATAACTGGACATCTCATGTATGTGTTATGAACAGGTGTTCAGTTAACCTGCGTTATTTATTTATATTATTTTGTCTACAAATTTAGTTTATTTTTAGAATATGCCAAGAAAAAGACTACGTACTACCAATAACAGATCATATAGTGTAGCAGATCTTAGACAAGCATGTGAAGAAGTCCTGACACATGGTCGAACAACTCGAAGTGTTGCACTTCAGTTTAAAATCCCAGAATTACTTTAAAAAGGTATGTCGATAAATGTCGGGAAAAAAACAACTTGGATATAAATTTTCGCCCCAACAACGAACATCTTTTGGCTTTTAGTCCCGATGAAGAATTACTTCTTAAAAATACTTAGAGCATGCATCTAACATTCAGTATGGCTTGTCTTCTAAACAAGCTCGTATTCTAGCTTACGAGTTTGCGGTGGCCAATGGCAAAACCATAAAAGAAGTTGGTCCCGAGAAGCAATGGCAGGCAAAGAGGGATGTTTAGATTTATGAACAGGCACAACTTTTCGTTGAGGACGCCAGACAACAACAAGCTTAAGTAGGGCAACCAGTTTTAATAAGACAAATGTGGAGGCATTTTTTAAAAATTTTAGAGAGATTAAAGAGAGATATAATTTGCAATCTAATGATATATACAATCTAGATGAATCCGGTGTAACCACAGTCCATAAACCTCCTAAGGTTCTTGCAATTAAAGGAAAAGAAATGTAGGCCAGATGACGTCGGCTGAAAGAGGGACGCTCGTAACTGTTGTAGGAATTATTGGAGCTACAGGACGATATGTTCCTCCTTTTTAATATTTCCCCGAGTACACTTTAAAGAAAATATGCTCCATGGAACTCCAGCTGGCTCTAAGGGTGGAGCTTCGCCTTCTGGATGGATGAACAGTCAGTTGTTTCTTCCTGTGTTGCAGCATTTCGTACAAAACGAGAGACCATCTAAAGAACATCCCAAACTAATAATCCTTGATAATCATGAGAGTCACTTAGGTATTGCAGCACTAAATTTTGCTAAGCAAAACGGTATACTCCTTTTGACATTGCCACCCCATTGCAGCCACAAGCTGCAACCATTGGATTTAGCAGTATTTGGGCCATTTAAAAAATATTATGGTGCAAGTTGTGACAGATGGATGGTAAATCTGCCGGAAAACCTATCACTATTTATGACATCGGATGTCTGGTTGGAGAGGCTTTTTTGCAAGCGTTTACTCCCAAAAAAAAATATATGCAGTGGATTTCGTTGCAGCAGGAATAGAGCCGTTTAATGACCAAATATTTTCGGATGAAGAATTTCTTTCGTCATATGTTACAGATAGACCAGGGAAAACATCAGAGGAAGAGGCACCACAAGCTGGGTCGTCACAAGATAATACATCACTGCCTAAACCAATTCAACATGGCATGACAGATCCTGTTCTGTCACAATTTCAGCTCTCAAAATATCAAGAATCACAAGCCGGACCATCACAAGCTGAATCGTCGAGCACTGCTAAACTACAAACTGAAAAATCACAAACCAAACCGACTTTATCTTCAATTGAGATAAAAAAGCCGACATTACAAATTATAACTCCTGAACAGATCCGTCCTCACCCCAAAGCTGGTGAACGAAAGTCTACAATTCGACGAAAGAAAAAATCTCTGATTTTGACAGACACTCCAGTCAAAGAGAACATAGAGGAAGAAGCAAGACTTCGAGAAGAAAAAGCACAAAAAAAACCAAAAGAACTAACAAGAAAAAAGAGGCAGTAAAAAGACGTATTCTAGAAGACAGCTCTTCTGATGATGACAGTGTTATCTATGAAGAAAGCTCGGATTCTTTAGAAGAATTTGATGCATATGACGATAGTCCACAAGCTGTGACAAAAGGCGATTTTGTAATCGTGAAAGTGTATGGGCAAAATAAATTAAATTTCAGACATTATGTTGGTGAAATTATTCATGCTGTAAATGATGGTTTTGAGGTTACTTTTTTAAAACGCCACAAGAAAACAAAATATTTTTTTAAAAATAATGAAAATGGCTTTGTTGTAAAAGCTGATATTGTTTGTAAGTTACCCATGCCAGCCAAAAGTAACAGCGCTAGATATGCCAACATGGTGTCATTTCAAGTTGATTTAAATGAATTTGACTTTACAGTTTATTAAAATTACCTACAATATTTTCATACATGTTCAGTATGTTTGACTTTACAGTTTATTAAAAGTATCTATAATATTTTAATGTATCTTCAGTATGTTTCTTATTATAAATAAAAATGATTGTTAAAAGTGTTGACATATTTTCTATGATATATTTTTAACATTTTTATTATAGCTAGTCGCCTTATTCGCTAGAGGGCTAGACTTGTATTTAGGGTATTAGGTTGGTAATAGTAAATGATGGAAAGCTTGCCAGCCTTCTTATGGTTTAGTGCCCTGAATTTTCCATGCATGGCCATTTTTGCTGTTTAACAATTTATGACAAATTTATTGTATATTTCTGTCAATTAAATAACAAAAATGGCAGCGCATGAAGATTCCAGGGCACTAAATCATAAGAAGCTGACAAAATTTCCATGTAGAAAGTGTTAAGTAAAAGTAAATTTAAAAAACTATCTTGTTTGTACCTCTGTTCAGTCAACCTGCATAAGTGGTCCAGTTAACCTGACAGGCAGGTTAACTGGACAATTTGATAGGTTTTAAAAAAGTCAATCTGTCATACACATAAATTTAAATTTAACTTTAAACATTACGTTTTCCAATTACTTACATAACTACCAAAGCATGGTCACAAAGGTATGTTTTTAGCAACGATTTACTGGTCAAAAACAGAGTTTAAATTTTGATGGGTCCAGTTAACCCCACTCTACCCTACATTGGAGCACTTACAGTCCTAAAATTAAATGAACAGAGAGTTGGCGAACAATGTGTAAGGAAAAACAGAAAACTGCCAGCCTGGGAGATGAGGATATCGCGTAATATAGAGGAGATTAGAAAGGACATAGCAATACTCACCCAGTACCGCAGGTCTGAATGTAGTCTGAGAGTAAAGAGATCCGCAGAGAATGTGATAAACCGTCACTGCTCGGAGGAGAACCCAACAGCTGTAGAAGTCTTGGACTACCTGAAGCAAAAACTAGCAGCTACAGCACTGCGACTTCGAAGGTACAAGAAAAGCAATGAACGCCGAAAGCAAAATCGAGCATTCGAGACCAATCAGCGAGGCTTTTACAGGAACTTGCAGGCGCGACGGAGGGATACAGATCAGAACAACGTTCAGATTCCTACCTCAGATGCCATCAATACCTTCTGGTCAGGAATTTGGAGCAATCCAATCAATCATTCCACATCTAAATGGTACCGCCAAGAGAAAGCAAATAATTCAACTTTTAGGACCATGCTCGACTGGAAAGTAAGCTTAGATGACGTGGTAAATACTCTACGAAAATTACCAAACTGGAAAGCCCCAGGATCAGATAAGCTTCAGAATTATTGGCTAAAAACGTTCACTTCGGCTCACGATCGACTCGCAAAGTGTTACACCTCAATCTTAGAGCAACCAGATATGTTGCCAGAGTTCTTAACAATGGGAATAACATATTTAATCCCAAAGTGCGGCGATCACTCTAACGATCCGGCAAAATACCGACCAATCACCTGTCTGCCGACTATTTACAAGGTATTGACTGCTATAATTACTGAAAAGATATATTCACACCTAGAGCGGAATACTATACTAGACGAAGAGCAAAAAGGTTGCCGAAAAGGGTCTCGAGGCTGTAAAGAGCAACTTGTTATAGACTCTGTCATAACTAATTATGCCAAAAAGAGAAAATACCCCTGTACATTGCATACATCGATTATCAGAAAGCGTTTGACAGTATACCTCACTCTTGGCTGTTAGAGGTGCTTGACCTTTATGGGATCGAGTGCCACATCAAACAATTTCTGGCACATGCTATGCCGAATTGGAAGACACGGCTCTATCTCAACACCCAAGATACGCAATTTAGTGCCGGAGAGGTATCCATCAAGAGAGGAATATTTCAAGGAGACTCTTTAAGTCCGCTATGGTTCTGCTTAGCGCTTAGACCGTTAAAAACAATGCTAAATAGCCAAAAGAAAGGAATACTGTTAGGTGGCAATGAAACACGCATTTCACATATTTGGTACATGGATGACCTCAAACTTTTTGCAGAAACCAAAGAAGACCTTCATAAGCTTCTGGACTGTGTAAGTAAATTCAGCACTGACATCAAGATGCTGTTTGGCTTAGACAAGTGCAAGATCAGTTGCATGGTAAAAGGCCAATGGAGTAAACATTCAGGATATGAGCCGAACCAAGTGCAAGGGAAAATTGAAGGAATGCAGCAAGATGAACAGTATAAATACTTAGGCTATCTACAAGCGCCGGGCATAGACCAGAAAGCTGCAAAAGAAAAGGGAATGGAGCACTATAGAACACGTTTGAGGGCGGTGCTGAAAACAAGTCTGTCAGCTCGTAATACAGCACTTGCTGTCAGCACCTACGCTACTTCGGTCATTACCTATACGTTTTCATACTGAACTGGACGGATACAGAACTGAACGCACTTAATGTGGAAACCAGAAAAGAATTCCGTAAACACCGGGGACACCACCCACATAGTTCCATAGAGCGGTTCCATCTACCACGAAGTGAGGGTGGCAGAGGAATACCTTGCATACCTACACTACATCACCGCCAAGTGGACAATCTACGCCAGTACTTCCTCCAAAAAGCCGCATCCAGCAGAATGCATCAAGCAATAACACAGACGGATAAAAAGTTGACACCACTAAACCTTTCAGAAAAATCTTTCGACCCTGAGGCAAAGATAACCCCAGTGCAGGATCTGGTTCGCCAATGGAAAGCCAAACCACTACATGGTCGGTATAGGAGCCGCATAGAAGACAACGCCATTGACACGAAGGCTCCCAAGGATGGTTGCAGTCAGGTAATCTGTTCCTGGAGACGGAGGGCTTCATAGCCTCCATCCAGGATCAGGTAGTCCCAACAAAGTTGTACCGAAAGCGTATAATGCATGAGAACGTTGACGATATCAGATGCCGCATATGTGGGGAAGAAGATGAGCACATAGATCATATTGTAGCAGGCTGCTCTCCCTTAGCTCCTAAACAATATCGTGAAATTCACAATGATGTGGCCAAAATACTTTATCAAGCTTTGGCTAAAAAGCATCTAGGAGAAACTGGTACACAGCCCTACTATAAATACATGCCGCCACCTGTGATAGAAACGGAGACCTCTAGGCTGTACTGGAACCGTAAAATCATAACTGACAGGCCCATCCCCAACAATATTCCTGACATAGTGCTCACACTAAAAGAAGAAGGAACGACGTTTATAATAGACATAGCTGTGCCTCTTCCTACTAATATCCAAACCACCCATGCGGAAAAAATCAATAAGTATTTGCCACTCTCCGACGAAATCAAACGCATGTGGGAAATGGGCAATGTGTCTATAATACCAGTTATAATAGGAGCTACTGGAGAGATACCAAGGAAACTACACAAGAGTCTGGAAAAGCTACAGCTCCATCCAAAAATATACTTGCAACTGCAAAAAGCTGCACTGCTGGGAACATGTAGGACAGTACGTAGGGTTTTAGGAGATGAGAACCGGATACGGTGAAAAGACCGCTGCAGATCTATTTCCTTACTTTGGCTAACCGCCTGAGGTAAATATTAATACCTTCGACAGATGAGTAAAATAGTATAAAATAATAATAATAATAGTTATATAATATACTAATTATAATAATAATAATAATTGTAATTATAATAATTAATTATAATAATAATAATACCTGTAATAATTATAATAATAATAATAATGGTAATTATAATATAATAATAATATAATAATAATAATATAATAATATAATAATAATATAATAATATAATAATAATAATAATAATAATAATACTATTTAACAATATATAATAATTGTAATTATATATAATAATAATGTAATAATTATAATAATAATATAATAATAATAATAATAGTAATTATAATATAATAATAATAATAATAATAAGAATAATATAATGATTATTAATAATAATAATTCATAATAATGTAATAATAATAATACTATAATTATATTAATAATATAATAATAATAATAAAGAATAATTATAATAATAATATTATAATAATTAATAATAATTAATAATAATAATAATAATAATAATAAATGGGTCTGGCCGGTAAGGGGACTGCCGCCAGCAGTTTCAAACCCGCTACCGTAACGACGTAGACGGTACAGCCAGCAGCGCAACGTCTGGCCTTAACCCAACAGTTAAGCTACTGATATTAACACCGAAGGATAGTCAGTACGGCCAGCACGCCTTCCATTTATCCAGGCGTGGTTTTTGTCTCTCTTCCGCGCCTGAGTTTCAACATTTTTAGGTAAACAATTACACCTACTTATAAAAAGAGAACAAAATTACCCAGAAATGGAGAAGGAACAAAATGAAGCCTCGGAATGTAACGACGTAATCGGGACTCGTCGCTATGCGACGAGGTCCGCGTCCGGCAGGGAGCGTAGGGGAAGGTCGCACCCGGTCGTCATCCAGCGAAATCCCCCCAACATCACCAAATACTTCACTGAATGACCTAACACAACACCACCAAGCGGTCAATGCTGGTAATAATGTTGCTGTGGACGCATCGCCCCAGCCCATGTTACCAGCCCATAGTAGACGGCAGAGAACCACTTGGACGACAGAAATGAATGAGTACGTGGTTCGCTGCTACTATAGAATTACCAAATTGCAAACTTCACAGGAACCTTATGGTGCTGAATTGCATAAATTAGTGACAGAAAAATTTCCCCAGTTAAGACAAAAGACACTGCAGAACATCCTAGACCAGCGCAGATCTATATTTGTGAACAGCAGATTGCCAGCGGAGAGAATAGATACAATTAGGCATGAAGTAGCAACCGAATTGGGCATGGTAAATGATGCACAGCAGAGTCAAGAGCAAGTAAATGACGCTCAGACTGAAACGCCACGCCATCAGTGCTGGAGGAGGAATTTAGAGCCATCATAATGAGCTATGACGGTATAGATCCGACAAAAAAGCCTCGGCTACCCAAACTATTTTGCAACCCAACGGCAGCTAAAAACCTACGTGAAATGAACAGAATTATCGCTGCTGATATTAGTGACCAAACAGATTTTAAGGACCTACACGCCATGATCTATGCTGGGGCGTTCGCGGTTCTAAAGCTAAACGGTCAGAGACCTACAGATGTTACAAGTCGGAAAGGAACTAAAAGGCAGCAGCTTGGGAAAGGAGGCTAAGCAAGAACATAGATAATATCAGGAGCGATATAGCTACCCTAACGCAGTACCAAAAACCGACATACAGCCAAAGAGTGAAAAAGAAAGGGACACAATAATGCGACGATATACATCGGAAGAAAACCCAACCATAGTCGAAGTTTTGGACCTTCTAAAGCAGAGACTATTAGCCTTATCTCAAAGAGTGAAGAGATATAAGAAGAGCAGCCAACGTCGTAAACAAAACATCCTATTTCATAGAAATCAGAGAGCATTTTATAAATCTGTGGGCAAAGAATCAGATCGTACACTACAAGGAAAAACATCATTTCCTAACACAGAAGACATAAGACACTTCTGGAGCGGTATATGGAGCAACCCCAGAGAACACAGAACAGCGCATTGGTATCAGCAAGAGAAGGCTAGAACTTCCATACAAGCAATGCTGTCTTGGACCATAACTAAGGATGATGTAGTGAAAGCAATAGGTAGGACTTCCAATTGGAGAGCTCCAGGGCCAGATGGTGTTCACACTTACTGGATAAAGGCATTTACTTCCACCCACCAACAACTTGCGAAATGCTACTCAACATTCCTCGAGAGGCCGGAAACTATCCCAGAATTTCTAACAACAGGAGTTACATACCTGATCCCAAAAACTGAACAATATACTGCTGATCCCGCAAAATACAGGCCAATTACTTGCCTTTCTACAGCGTAAACTCCTTACTGCTATATGGCTGACAAAGTACATAATCATTTGGAACGTAACAACTTATTGGATGAGGAACAGAAGGGATGTCGGAAGGGCTCAAGAGGATGTAAAGAACAACTGATAATCGATGAAATAATAACGGGTAGTGCCAGAAAAAAGAAGTCGCCCTTGTTCACTGCATACATCGATTATCAGAAAGCATTTGATAGTATTCCACATTCATGGTTAACGGAAGTGCTACACCTTTATGGCATAGAAAACCATATCGTGAAACTATTGACCTATGCAATGTCCAAATGGAAAACGCGTCTCTGTCTTAACACCCCAGACTCGCAGATAGATGCTGGAGAAGTCAGTATAAAACGAGGGATCTTTCAGGGCGACTCTCTAAGCCCGCTATGGTTTTGCCTAGCTTTACGCCCACTAACATCGCTGTTAAACAGTCAAGAAAAAGGCGTAAAGATTGCCGAGGATGGTACACAACTATCTCATCTTTGGTATATGGATGATCTGAAATTATTTGCAGAGAAGAAGGATCACCTACATGCGCTGTTGGATTGTGTGAGCAGATTTAGCAAAGATGTGCAAATGACGTTTGGTTTAGATAAATGCCGCATAAGTTGCATGACTAAAGGTAAGTGGACAGAGCATGAAGGGTATAAAGTAAGAGGGTCGCAAGGGAGATCATCAATATGCAAAGGGATGAACGCTACAAATACTTAGGCTACCTCCAGGCACCAGACATAGACCAAAAAATGTCGAAGCAAAGATCTACCGACGAATACTTGAGAAGATTAAGGATCATTCTTAAATCAGAATTGTCTGCTATAAATACGTCTGTTGCAGTGAACGCCTATGCGCGTCAACGCTTACCTACACCTTCGGTATACTCAAATGGCTGATACTGAGCTGAAAGCCCTAGATATAAGTACCAGGAAAGAATTCCGTCGGTATAGGGCGCATCATCCTAAAAGTGCAATAGAGCGCTTCCACTTAGCACGGCGCGAAGGAGGAAGAGGAATCCCCAGTATGGTGTCCAGACATTACCAGCAAATTGATAATCTAAGGACATACTTCTTGGAAAAGGCGAGTAGTAGCAGAATACATCAGGCACTAGCCAACAGAGATAAGGGCATTACCCCACTGAACCTAGCCAACCTAGCTCTCAATCCATCCGCGATGGTGTCATCACCCCCCGAACTGATCGAGAAGTGGAAATCCAAGCCACTACATGGACGCTATAGAACGCGAATTGAAGACCAGGCAGTAGACACCAAAGCATCCCAAGAGTGGGTGCGTTCCAGTAATCTGTTCGTGGAGACAGAGGGGTTTGTGATGGCTATTCAAGACCAAGTGCTGCCTACGAAAGTCTACAGAAAGCGAATAATGGGAGAAAATATAGACAATATCAAATGTAGAATCTGTGGAGGTAAAGACGAGAACCTAGACCACATTATCGCAAGCTGTTCCACACTCGCCCCAAAACAGTATCTAGAAAGACATAACGACGTGGCAAAAAAATCTACTTGGAACTGGTCAAGCGCTATCTCAATGAAGGACCTACTGAGCCATACTATCGCTACACGCCCCTCCAGTTAAAGAGACTGGGTCACACAAAATGTATTGGAACAGGAAAATAATCACAGACCGCACAATACCAAATAACATCCCTGACATAGTGCTAACGTTAAAAGAGCAAAAGATAACATACATTATAGATATCGCGGTTCCGCTCCCTGTCAACCTTCAAAGTACCTACTCAGAAAAAATCAACAAGTATCTACCACTGTCAGAAGAAATAAAGCGGATGTGGGGAATGAATACAGTTACGATTGTACCGATAGTTATTGGCGCAACAGGTGGTCCTTAAGAAGTTACACACAAGTCTTGAAAAGTTAGACCTTGACCAACATGTTTACAAAAAAATTCAGAAAGCCGCTTTACTGGGGACATGCAGAACAGTCCGTAGGGTCCTGGCAGGCGAAAACTCGACATTGTAACCTGCAAAATTGGTAGTTGCCTTCAAAATGCTTACATCCTCTGGTGCAAACCTGGATTAAGCATATCAAACCCTCTCAGAGGAGATGATTGAATGAACAAATAATAATAATAATAGTAATAATAATAATAATAATAATAATAATAATAATAATAATGATAATAATAATAATAATATTTATATATAATAAGATAATAAATAATATAATCATAATAATAATAAAATAATTATAATAATATTAATAATAATCATAACATAATAATAATAATATATAATAATAAGAGTTATAATAATAATAATAATCATAATAATAATTATACTCGTAATAAATAATAAGAATAATAATTATAATAATTATAATTATAATAATTATAATAATTATAATAATAATAATAATCATAATAATATAACAATCATAGTAATAATAATAATAAATATAATAATAATAATAATAATAAGAATCATAGATAATAATATAATATAATGATAATAATCATAGTTATAATATAATATATCAATAATAATAATAATAATAAATAGTTATAATAATAATCATAATATAATAATAATAATTATAATATAATAAAATAGTTTAATATAAGAATAATTATAATATTAATAATAATCACAATAATAATAATAATAATAATAATAATAATAATAGTTAAATAATAATAATTATAATAATAATAATAATAATAATAATA